ATATATATATATATATATATATGAGAAAAGCAGATAGAGTAATTATATTGGTTAGTTATTTTTCGAAATCATTCAAACGTTTCATTTCCCTGGTGGACTAGGTGTAACGGACGCGAATTCAGTTTTTGTTCCTTGTATGAAAAAAAGGGTACATGAAAAATCGGAATACAGATAAAACTACCAGCGAGTATCATTCGTTCTGACCGATGGACGTTTCTACGTATGTACTCGAGATACGCGGGGACAGGCGTGTATTAAACTTTATGGGATTCCTGACGAGCACTCACCCTGAACACTACTACACACTATCACCCTCGCACGCCTGTATACGTAGACGGCTGCCAAAGGACCAACACACGCCCGTAAGGGCAACGAAGCGTGATTCCAACTTTCAGGCATTACATTATTAGCTGGTTGCTATTATCTGTCCGGTTATCGTGATGAACGTATAGGAGAGCTCGGGTTCAATCATCGGAAACGAAAGAACGAGCAGGGTCATCTCCGTACGCAATAATTTCACCATTCAATTGCATCGAAAATCGAAAGAAAAAAGGTGAACGCATATGAGCGATATACATATGTATAATATCATTAAAATCTAAACAAAATTGCTATAAACTATTTCTCATAATGTTAAATAAATGCATTTTGTTTGTCTCTAGTTAAAGAACATAATGCACTTCGTGTGTTTAATCTTTTTTCAGCACATAAGTTGACGGTGAAGAACACTTTCAGAACATCGTAGAGTAGTTTAAAATGAGTCTTTCAACACTAAACACTATGCCATATCTATAACTAAAAAAATGAAATGTTGGACAAAATGCATTTGTTATTTTTATTGCAGAAGAAATATATTTTTACAATTTGTCTGCAAAACAGCTTTTAAAAACAGTTATATTTTTACATTAATTTTTTGTATAAATATTTGTGATATTTTTTAACATATTCATATATTAAATTAATACAAAAATTTGAATAATCTGTTTGAAACATTTAAAATGTATTATAATAAAAATATATTATAATAATACAAATTTTCCAACAATGTCAAAAGAAATATTTCTGTACCTTCCTTTTTTCTATATTAGTATTTTTATATTTGCCAGTTTAACTATGTTGAAGCACGTATAAGAGGATATAGTGGCAATTACATTATTTGCTTTGATGACCCTTATAAGTTATAAGCTCTTTCTACAAACTATGGTAGGAACATTAACATTATTCGCTTTTATTGGTCTATACAATTTTGAAAATACCGCGATCGAGAGGCTGTAGCGTCGTCATAACAGGATGTTTATGATATCGGCAAGGTATCGTAAAGAGGATTTTATTGTCAGGGTAATTTATGTTTACTCGTTGATGCACAAGCGTACTTGTTCGTGACGAGTGCCAATTATTATAGCCGCGGCTCGTCCACCGATTGTGTCCATCGTGCAGCGCTGCTTATTAATCGCGTTATGGTTTATCGCCTCGGTAATTGCGTCTGTCACCGACAACGCAGTATAAAAGCTTATTCTGATGTTAATATCATCGGTCGCGTGAGAAAATTATGGTACCCGTTCGTAATAATTCGCGTAATATTGCCTGTGCGAAATTACATTTCAGCAATTGTCCTCGCTGGATTGCTGGATTTATGACGTGCCTCTCGCCGTATGCAAATCATTTCGGGAAATTACTCGGATTAAGGTAATTAAACATACTATCAGACATGAGCGCGAGAATACTAATTAAAAACATCGTGAGAGATATTAAAAGTGTAAGAATGATTTGCTCGGTTTTAATTCTTACTGCCATCGTAAAATTTTATACTGTTACAAAATTTAAATATTTTGTAACAGTTGATGTAAGATAATCCATTCGGATTTACAATGTAATTGTTACTTACACAGAAAGAACGATTTTGCTGAAGTATTTAAAATTTTAGCTAGATATAAATTTAAAATAATTCAATTCACCCATGAAAATAATTACGTAAATAATTAAGGGAATTCAATGATCAGTGTTGCAAAAAGTTATTTTCAAATTTATCAGCAAAATTCTTTTAATATGTAGAAATAATCAAATAAACAAAATAATAAAATATATATAAGATAAAAATAAAAAAGAGAAATAAGTAAAAATAAAGAAAAGTAGCCAAATACGAAACTGAAGCTTTAAGAAGAAAGGAGAAAAGAGCGCGCGATATGATTCAACATATTACTCACTTTTTAGACTGATAGTGACGACTTCATACACTGAGAAAAATGTCTGATTAGTTCATTCATTTTCAACTGGATATTTTTCTCCATGTAGAAATGCTCAATTTATTCGTAAGTCTATGGCTTAGCAATAAGCAGTAAGCAAATCAACATTTTGAAATTGCTATTATTTATACGCGCGTACCTTATGTTTCTACTATGTGATTGGTCGATTTGTTTATATCATTATACTGCTTAGAGTGGGAGCACAGAGTCTTGCATAACGCATAATGCATAATGCATACGGTTTATAAAAAAAATGAACCAATAAAAATTCTTCATTTCCTTCCTTTTCATGAAATAAAAGACTCTGATTGGTTAAATTACTTATGCGTTATGCAAGACTCTGTGCTTCTTCTCTTAAGTTTTTTCGTGTGTTAAAGTCTTTATATATATGCTATTAATATCGCCGATGAACAAACGAGAGAAATGAGTTATTTAGAAGAACAAAGGACAGTTTGAAGATCATTGTTGATGCGATTCACAATTCGGGCTTTGGAAAGCATCAGTCTTTTGAAAGCTTACTTTCCGTAGCTCTGCATTTCATTGCGAGCTTCCACCGCAGGGCCTATTGTCGCGGTGCTTTGAACTCTATTGGTACGCGGATGGTATTGTTGCGTGCGTACTCGTGTCGAACCGGGAATGAATTCGGTCATTGTTGTGTGACGTTCATGTTAATAGAACTTTTGCACGCAACGACAAATTATTATCTGGTAATGTGCCATGCTAATTCCGTTGGATTCGGACACGATGCGATGCTGAGGGAGAGATGACGACGCATCCAGTTTGAGATCACGGCCGAGATCTTCTGAGCCACTTGAAATTTATTACCGGTAGAATACGATCGCGGCTGTGCAAAAGATCATGGAGAATCAGTATAATACTCGCATGTAACAATTGCGTAACGATATCTCTCGAGTAATTATCATAATTACAGCAATACAAACGTATACTACGCTCCAACGCGTTAATTGCCACGCGATACGTCATTAAAATAATTAATTTTGAGTAATGCAGTCATGCAAATTAATTTATCCTTATATGGACATGTAACTACATGTAGTGTTCCGTGAAAATATTTTTCTCTACATAGGAAGAACGGTTTTGTTGAAATATCTAAAAATTTAACTAGATATATTTATTTAAAAATAATTTTGTTAGACTATATTAAAATAATTATGAAAACGTTCAAGCTGATTGTTAGAGTGTCAAAACGTTTTGCAACATATTACTCATTATGCTTGAGCGTTTTACATAATTATTTTGATAATCCAACAAAATTATTTTCAAGTTCAGTATCAAGTTAATTTTTAGAACTTTAGCGAAATTACTTTTTTCTTGTAATAAGAAAAAATTAGTCAACACGAGTTTACTAAAAAATCATTATATAAATAAGCGTATATGGAAGTCTTACAAGTTTTCATAGAACGAATTTTTCAACTAGAATTGCAATTATCGGTTCAATAAATCTTCTTTCGAGGAAGAGATAACGGAACATGAAGGTGCTGGTATAAAATAAATTCACCCTCACGAGCGCGGATTTAATCTTTCGTCCGCGGCATTCTCTTTAAAAAAGGCTGTGAAATTATAATTAAAGTTGAGTAATGACGAGTGACTTTTCCCAACAAAGTTACATGTAACGTATCTCTTAGCTGCATTTCCTATTCAGCAATATAACATATACATTATATTATAATTACATTGTTAATTAGGAAACGACTTCGTACTGATTTAATATAATTTGATATTTGAATAAAATGTCAATGGTGTAAAACCCGCCAATGAAGGGAAAGAAAGCTATAATCTTACCCAGGAAGGACAGCTGTCCCCTAATTCTGCGCTTTTCCGTCGCAAGCTCTCCGTCCCTTTGGCGAGCAATTGCAATTGCCGTGAAGGAGGGCGAAGGGATGCGTCGTGGATCTCGCGATGTCAGTGCTAACCCAACGCGATCCCAAAAGTGATCTTATATGGATGTCCCTCGTGTGCTATAATCCGCCGATCGCGCGCGAGAAAGAGGCGTGCGAACGTACGCCGAAATCACGCGTGCGGTGCGAATGGCACCTGTAATCAAACTGACGGTCGAAATCAGTGAGAAGCATGGAAATAATGGACACCTGTATACCTGGGAAGTGGAGAGAGAACGGCAAAAGAGCAAATCGTGCATTCCTGATGAGAGATCCCCGCGTGCGTTACAGCCGCGTGACAGGCCGTAGGGGGCCCGCATGGATAACGCGCGCGGGGGCGGACAGGTGGGGTCCCCACGTCCGACTTCTCTGGCCTTGCACGCAGCGGAAGTGGACCCATTGTGGGGGGGGGGGCTCGCGAGAGTTGTAGAGCGTCGTACCCAGCGGCGTATAGGTTCTCGTCATCGAGGCCGACTCGCGGCGGAATCATGGATTAGAGACTCCCAGTCGAGGTCAACCAGGACGAGATCGCACCGTCATCATCGAGAGTCAACGAGCCGCTCAACGATCTGGCTGGATAAAAGCGCGGGGTGATCAGGCATCTCGGTATACAGGGGTCCGTAACCTTTTGTTCGCCATATTAGATGCTTAGCGTCGAGAGTTATTTTCTTCGTACAAAGGTATCGCGTAACACATACATTATATTCTGTGATTTAATTTATTCTACTTTTATTTTCAGGCTCTCGGTTGGAATGTATGACTGCTAATTCAAAAGTATTGCACAATTCTCTATTGGATATGTTATAAAAAGAATTCAAGATTATAATTTTAAAAAATGTGATTGAAAATAATTTGCGAAGTTTGATTTTTTAATGGCTATTCTAATTGTTCAATTATTTTAAAATTTACTGAGCATACTTATTTACTTAAATATATTCGTGATTTATTATATTGTTACTACAAGAGAAAAAATCAAGGATTATACATATAATATTATTAACGTACACTCAATACATTAAATAAGTACTTAAACAATTTCACGAAATGGAGATCTTGTTTTTTTAATACATAAAAATTTACGCTGTCTGTGAAAGTTAATCATAAAAAAATAAGCGTATTAAATAAATATTTTTTAATAAATTAAGTTAATACACATATATGAGATATGATAAATGGAATTCGGTAATAATAGTGTACGTCAGTCTCTCTTAAATTATGGTGCTAATAATGATGTTGAGGTCGTTTTCTTTTCTTTCTTCGTAGCATGTCCTTTCTTGCGTCTTCACAAAGGGCATTATACTTAAGAGATATCTTTTTCTCTTGAGACAGCAAATAACGACGCTTCTATGGAGTTTGAAATATTAGAGGAAGTGGAAAGATAAAGGAATATAATAAATTTCTCTCTCGAAACGCTTGATAACATGGTTTTTCTTGATAATCTTTTATAACACTTGTTTTCGAGCTGATCTAGACAATAACTTGTTTTCTTCGTAAAATAATTGGTTTTTTGTAGGTATAATGACTGATACAAAAGAGAAAGCTTTCAGAAGCGACAATACAGCTTTTCTACAAGTATGAGTCTTCACGGCTGAAAAAGATCAAATAAGTATAATTAAAAAATTGTTCAGATATACAAGTATATGTTACGAATAAAGAACTAGAAATAAATACTGCGATTGTGCTCTTATATTTAATAAGAAATGTAAAGACCGTTTTATATAAAAAAAGATTCTTATTGAAAAAGGCATTTTTTTTTTAAAGAAAAAATGTAATTTCTTTTATATTAAAAACTTTTAATTTATACGAAAATTGCATCTACCTTTTTTCCTTAAATTTGATATTAAATATAGCTTATCTTTTTTGTTGCGTACAGAGAGAAGTATTTATTTAGATGAACAGTTCAATAAGATCCTTATTGTTTAAAATTTATTTACTCAGAAATTAATTATTTTTAATTATGTTTCTTTCATGATCAGTGCGCATTTATGGATAGCGCTATTTTCCAGGAGATTTCTCATATGTTTATAATTATTACAATTTTATATTGTTTACGGCTCAATTAATACTATACGTATATAATGATATCATAATATATTTGTAACATCAGAGTACATAACTGTTAAGTAAAGCGTGTCGTAAATTAATGAAATAAACATAATATATATAATATATACAGTTTTGGCTAACATATTAATTGTCACAATAGTTGCATGTATGTTTTTCACTTGATTACATTTATAGATATAAACAACAAATACAAATGCAAAATTTAAAGATATTCTGAGGGCCTACTTTCGACTACATTCTATAATCTGTCTGATAATTTGAGATGGAATTTTATTTACAATTTTAACTTTAATTTTATTTATATTTTATTTATAATTTTATTTATAACGCACGAGTATAATACGAGAAATACTCGAAATAATATGCATTGTAAAAGATACATGAAAACGCATTATATGCGTCAAAAGTACATAAAAACATATAAAAGTGGTTCTATTTTCTGGTTTAATTACATTCAATAACAATGAATAACAGCAATAGTAATTATTATTATTAATCCTCAAAATCCAAATAATAATTTATTTAATATTACTGATAATTCCAAATATTCAAGTAGAACAATATAGGTCATGATATAATATCAATGGTATTAAAATGAATCTGACTGAATATTTTGGAATCATTTTATCGCTATTTTGATGTTATAACATTTTGTTTTATTTGGGAATAAAATGATGATAAAATGATGTTTGAATACTTACTTTAATAGACGAAATAATAATCATCACTATGTCGTTTGTTAATATACTAAAAGTATCGAGCGGTCTTTATTGACTCTGCTTCTATTTTATAGATTATTTATATTTCTTTTATACAAAAAAATGGATTCGGAAAATGTTTAACTTTTCAGTAATAATTATGTCATTTTTATACTCAAATATTTATTTTTATTAATCAATTCCTTTATTTCTATAATAATTTATTCGCTTACTTTTTTAAAGATGAGTAAAAAACGTTTATTACTTCCGAAATTAACGGTTTTTATTGGCTGCTTTTAATTTTTAGATTAATATTATATTTTTTTTATATATACAAGTTTATACTCTGAAATTTTTGACTTGTCAATAATTCTATTATTTATACTGAAATATTTAGTTTTTAAAATCAATTCTTTATTTTTATAATAGCTTATTCGCTTGCTTTTTCAGTAAGTAAAAAACGTTGATATTTTCAAAATTAACGTTACTTTGTCACCTGAGATAATAATAAATAATGATAACAATTACAATAATTCATTCTCAAATATAATACAAATTATAAATTATCTAAAATGAGCTCTATAATTTTTTTAATGTTATTGATTATTATTATATAAAAGAGTCCTTGAATTTTTCAATTTATTTGTCTCTATAATTTATTCACAGTCGGTTTTTTATTATATATTTAATATTGTCCTAAGCGCAGTTATTTAAGATGTCATCAGCTAATTACAGAGTCATATTAGCATCTCAAACCATTATTTAAGACAATCTCAAAATAAGAATCGACCTATGAACACCGGAGTTCACGTTTGAAACTGATTTTACTGAGACCGTGCTCGCGTTCGAGCCTTTGAAAATGGCGGCCGGTCACGTGATCGCCGAGCGTTCGGAATGCGTGCCCGCTCCGGATTCTCTTTGCGTGTGGTACGTGAGGCAGGAGCTCGATAACGCGATATATAGTTCGGTGAAGTCAGCTGACGCCAGGATGCAATCGGCCGTCGCTCGTGGATTGTAATGCGATCGCTGCGTTATCGCGTGATACTGTAAGGATCGTATTCTCGGGGAAAAAAGCGCGCGTTCTTTCCTCTCGCGCGATCCGTCAACCGAGGTAAGTATTGGAATTCCCGAGACTATCCCACGGCTCCGTTCCGCCACCGCATATTGATTCGCGATGTGCTTACGTCGATGTTACGCTTAATGACTGATGAATTAGTCGTTTATCGAGGTACTTCTCGAAGAACGTATTATTCTCGATTCGCGAACGTTCGGAGTGTCCTACTGTATTTTGAGGTTAAGAGAATACGACGTTTTTGCGATGTATTTTGACTCGCAACGAATTTCAATATTTTTACACTCACGGAATATCATCTTTTTCATATTTCAGTTGGGTACGCGAGGAACTTGTATAAATTTGGGTACTAATTAGAGAGCAAAGGAAGTCATCATGCCGCTTAGTGCAGGTAAATACATATATCAACTTAATTATTTGTAATCTATTTGAATTATTCTCTGTACTGTAAAATAAAGGTAACTTTGATCTAAGATCGAGTAATTTTTTAGTTTAAATTTTGATAATGCTCAGAGCATGTCATACAGCTTGCATGTCACACAAAATCAGATTATAAGATAGGTCTTAAAGATATTCTAAGAAGTCTTGTTAATTTTGGACTTGCATGCTGGCTAAGCATTTTTTTAAATTTGTACTAAAATTATTAAGTACTCTCTAAAACTTTTAAAGTAGATCTCACTCTAAAGAATAAAGTCTTGCTCTTAAAGATTGTAAATCTAATCACTCTTTTTTAAGACTAGTTTAATTTTTATTTCTCAGTGTGAGATTCCATTCCAAAGAATTTAAAAAGGTTCAAGTCCCGACTGGGCCACAAAGTTATCCTATTTTATATATACAGAAAAATTGAATTAATATAATTTGTACCATTCTGTCGATCTATTACTTCCGAGTTAATGTCTTATTATTTGTCCCAGATATATCTACGGCACTCCACCTGTTGGAGCATGTGCAGGAACGGGTGGAGGATTGCGACGATCCTAAGCTGCAAATGCACACGTCGCAGGATTTGAAGTCATTGATTTCGTTGTTGGAGGATCCAGTATTCCGTAGCATAGTCACAATTCAGGACTCCTTGATCGAACTAAATACACAACTGACGCATCATCCATCTATCTTGCCTGGCGACTTTGACATCAACATCAGCGGGCAGCTGGAGCTTTCCGTTCCAACTACTCCGGTGCAACCTCTCGGACCGAATATGTATCAAGATTTGTATCAAGACAACAGCGAACAGGAAGATCAGAGAGTTCCTGTCGCTCCATTACTGCACAGCAGCAGCGAGGACACGAGCGCGCAGGTAATATCGTATCATCGTTATATTTTGCAAGGATTAACCATGTATTTTTATGCATCTCTTAAAGGATTTGTCGTTACTTTGTTACAGGTTACTAGTCCCAGTCTTGTTTCGGAAGTTATGGGCGGAATGCCGCCTATAACTACACCTACTTATGCAAAGGAGTTTAAAAAAGTCATTGAAGCTGCGGCGAAAGGACGACAAATATTTACGGTGCAGGTAAATTTTTCATAAGACATAAAACTTTTATAGAGCATTTTTAGGGGAATCTTTTTATATACCATTAAAGTGTCTATTGTTTTCATTTTTCAAGTAAAAAGCGAAGAAAAAAAAATCATATGTAGTAAATTATGTTTTAAATATCTTGCTAATGAAGATAATGTTATATCTTTCTAGTTATATAAACCGGAAGGAACTAGTTTGGGATTCAGCGTGGTCGGACTTCGGAGCAAGGATAAGAACGAGGTTGGCATATTCTTACAAGAGATACAACCAAACGGCATCGCAGGCTGGTGAGTCGAACTAGTCTGTTATTTTTCTCAACGTTTTTGCTGCATGCTTTCAAGATAGATGGGCCTGCAATTTCAATAACTCTATATAAATATCGCTATTTTGATACATAATAGCAGCTATGTTTCTTTTTTATCAAAAGAGTCGATGTGGATTCGACGTTTGATAACCATTTTCGCTTTAGTGGCGTTAGGGATTTGGGTAAAACTTTTAAGTTGAGTCCATACATGTTTTTAGCAAGACAATCAGATAGTAAGTCTCGCAAAATATCAGAAAGCATTTGATAGTCGTCGGTAAAAAGATTGTGCCGCGATAACGGGCTTGAAGTGGAAAATAGGGATGATCTGTGAGTGGGCGCGATATCAGGTGATCCAATAACTTCGCTTTACCGCAGTGCGGTTGAACCGACATTTTTGAGTAGAACTAAAACTCGAGAAATATACTCTTTTTTTTTTTTTTGTTAAGTCAAGAATATTTTTATGAATTATTATACTATACCGTTAAGGATCTCTATGTTCGTTCGGACTTTATTTCAGTAAAAAGTCAGGTTCGTCGTATCAATTACTTTTTGTCGTTAAAACGTGCCGTTATCAAGTTTGCAAATCTCAGCGGAAATTCGCTGTTAATGCATGAACCCAACGGAGAAACACGATCCCCTTTTAGCTCGACGAGAGCGAAACGCGATTCCTTGATTGCTCCTGGGGAGAGAAAATGAGAGAGTGTGGGACAGAGAGAGTGAGAGAGCAGAGGGAGAATCAAAGCTCTACAAGCGGCCTAATCTACATCGCCGTCGTAAACCGCGTACTCGAGGGCGAGGGCGACACGCGAGTCGTCGCGCAGAACGCGTTCAAAGCGTACCGAGCGACCGCAAGCTATCATTTCCGGATCACGCGTACCTCCCCGGCACACCCTTGTGCACGGTCGTGCGGTGCCGATCGTGCCATCCGTCACACGCATGCCCGTTACCCTCCATCCGGAAGCTTCGCCGCCACCGCCGTCGACGCCGCCGCCGTCGTCGTCGAGAAAACGCTGCCTTTGAAAAAGAGCCCTCCCACCCTGCGGCCGACCAGTCTTCGACGAACCTTCGTCGACCGAAGGTCGCGGGGCGGATCGTCTATAATACGCGCTCTTATATCACGCGGCGGACACGCACCTCGCACGCACCCACGCGCGTAATCACGCGTATCCGCTCGGCCCGCCTGCCCGAGTTACGCGCCGAGTGTATGGTGTTGCCGCATGCGAGTGTGCACCCCCGCCTTCACCATCCCCGCGAGTTTATCGCGATTTTCGCAGTGCGTTCTCCGCGTGCGTTTTTCCACGCCACGCCGATACACCTGGAGCAGCGCGTTCGCTCTTCGTACGGAAGCTTCGCCGACTCCTCTCCGTCCGTCGAACGTTGACGACGGAGATTGCCACCCTCGCCGATTAATCCGCGTCCGCGGGGGGGTAAGAAAAGAGGGGAGGGAGGGGGTGAAAGAGAGAGGAGTACGCGTGTCGGAATCACGTTTCTTCTGTGGTGACATGCGAACCTTCGCCGTGTTCGACGTGGCACGCCGCACTTTCACGCGATGCGCTCGTTAATCAACCGCGCGGCTCTCGCGCGCCGCGCGCCCTCGTAAAGGGGCGACTTCGTGCGGGGGCTGTTACGCACGGGGAGGTGAGTGAACAATGGAACAAAGCCTACGTCATTCTGTGATAGCTCACGTGGTGCGCGCCCGTCTTCTGTGAGAAGCGTCACGGTACACGTCGTATCGGCTCACCGGTATCATTTACGTTTACTCGCGGGGCACTCTCGGTTTCCGTTTTTCCTCCCACAACAATGCGTAAACGTGATGCGGAGAACAGACGCAAATTATTCGCTGAAAGCTGAGAGTCGCTAGATACGGCGTTACGCGGAAAGATTTTGTTATAAAATATATATCCAAAAAATTAAATCTGAAAATAATGTTGGAGCATCAAAATAATTATAGAGAAATTTCAAATGTGATGAGCAGCGCTGCAAAAAGTTTTAACGTTTCAGCGACTAACTTGAGCATTCTACATAATTATTTTCGAATTTGTATCTAAATTTTTAGGTACTTCAGCAAAACCATTCTTTTCCATGTAGATACAGATCTTGAAATAAGTTTGTTGTGCCATCAAAATATAATTACATATATTGAAATATAATGAGCAAGATTACAAACAGTTTTGATATTTTCGCAACTGGTTTGAGTGTTCAACAAATAGGAAATAGAAAATACTGGCTAGAATGGTCGAAGCTGGATCTTTAATGCTTTCAATAATTCAATGTGATGTAAAATTATGTACAATATTTACTAATATATATCCTATGTACATACCATATTTGTAATCATTTGAATTAAGCGCCAAAAATTTTTTTTTAATGTTTTACGTAATTATTTTGATGATCAAATAAAATTATTTTCACAGATTTGTATACAGCTAAATTTAGATACTTTAGCATAATCGTTCTTTCCGTAAAATACCGATTTGAAAATAATTTTATTAGCTCATCAAAATAATTATTACATAAGAATCTTAAACATAATAAGCAGTACTACAGAAAGTTTTGAAATTTTAATTACTAGTTTGAGGGTTCTACATAATTAATTTGATGACACAACAAAATTATTTTGAATCTCGCTAAATTTAGATATTTTTCAGTAAAAATCTTTTAGTGTAGAGAGATCTGAAAATAATTTTATTGGGTCATTAAAATACAATAATTACATATAGGAATCTCAAGTATGATGAGCAATACTATAAAAAGTTCTGACACTTCATCAATTAATTCGAACGTCCTACAACCTACATGATTATTTTGGTAGCACAACAAAATCATTTTCAATATCTAATTAAATCTATCCCTACCAAGATGTGTTTTTCATTAAATTTTTAGACATTTAGATGCAAAATTATCCTATAAGTGTACGTCTGTAATGACGAAATTTAGGTTTTAAAATTAATAAGCCACGTCAGGAAATACATGTAATAATATATGTAACACACTGCAGTTGTGTAACATTACTCGAGGACCACAAATGAAGGAAGTCGCGATAAATGCCGCGGTCAATCGGCGGAATCGGCTCACATTCGAATCGCAAATGAACGGGTGTTTACGTGGACTTGGTACAATTCGTTGTGACTTCTCCACGTCATCGTTGCGCTCTGCTCGCGAGCTAGAGGCAGCACGCTAACGAACGGCGCAAAATTGCGTTTTTATCGACTCGCCGCGGCTCTACTCCGTAGAGCGAGAGTCGCGGCTGAGCTCGTGGCCCGTACACGCCTCGTAGGCGAAACTGGGTTAGATCGTCGGCGGGAGTAGGCCTCATCGATCCCGGATTTGAATTCAACGTGAAATTATTCTAGCCCGCGATGCGCGTATTATTCATGCCCTGGGATTCGTAGCCGGTGGTGCGCGGATTCGCGCTACGTGTCGCCGCACGTCAACGTCGACGCGCGAAATTAAACAGGATGACTTTTCTCCGGTCCAGGGATGAAATACTGATCCCCACCGATCGGAAATTTGTCGGCACGCGTGCCCGTTGAATTTATGTTGCCATCGACATCATCGGGTACACGTGATGGAATCACACTGTTCATATATATTAATCTGTCCAGTGATATCACTGCGTATGCATAAATAATGAGAAGTAACGGCGGATGTGGTAGAGTGGCAGCCTTATAACATTCGTATCCCTTAACGCTCGAATTCTACTATTGTATTAATGATAATATTGCGGTGAAAACTATTCTTTATGCTATTCCTACACGAAAAAATTTTTCTACACGGAAAAGACGGATTTGCTGAAGTATCTGAAAGTTTAGCTAGATATAGATCTGAAAATAATTTGTTGGACTATCAAAGTAATTATGTAGAATTGCTAGAAAGTCAAAATTTTTGGCAATATTGCTTGAGATTCTTACATAATTGGTCCAATAATGGTTCAATAAAATACAAGCAATATTGCCAAAAATTTTGACATCCAGCAGTTTCAATATTCCACACAATTATTTTTATAATTAATTCCAACAAGTTACTTTCAAATCTATATCTGGCTAAATTTTTAGATATTTAAATAAAATTGTTCTTTCCGCGTATGGAGTATCTACTAAAAGTTTTGATTAAGATATAAATCTGAAAATAATTTTGTATGATCGTTCAAAATAA